ATTATCCAAAATTTCTCTCTAAGGCTTGCACGTAATATTGAACCCGCATACATTGCTTTTACATGCTGTTCTCGAATTAATTTTACTACAACATCATTGGCAGGTAAGAGAATTGGGAACTTGAAATCTTCCTTCTCATAACTGTCAGCTAACTTGGTTCTTATTCTCAGAAGCCCATCTTCATCTCTAAAGGCTTGCATTTTAGCAAGAAGTCTCTCATCTTGAGAGAAATTTGACTGCAGGGACTTGAAAACCAAAACTTCTGCTCGTTTGAATTCTTCATATCCTAAGCTTCCCTTTAACTTGATAGCATTTGAAACGCTGTGAATGAAACGTAGCATCCACGCTACTACTATGTTGTTTCTACTATAGGTGGAAAAATAATGACTCTTAATATCTGTTGTTTGAACATTCATCATAGAGGTCACGATAGCTCTTCTTTCTTTATCCACTTCAACCTCATTGACATCTACTTCCAGATCACTAATAGGCCATCCTTGAGGCGAAAAATGCAACCAATTGGGACCTTCCCACCATTTTGAACTGCAAAGCTGCTTTGCTGAACACCCTCTATTCGGACAGTCTGCAGGATTCAGAGATCCAGGAACATGTCTCCAGGCTTTGACAGGTGTCAGCTTCCGAATTTCTTGAACACGGTTGTAAACAAAAACACCCCATGGTTCTTCTCTCTTCAATCAAGCTAATACTGTAGTAGAGTCTGTCCAGAAATAAACATTGTCTGTTGGAAACTCTTTCAAGACAGTTGTAGAAAGACGAGCAGATATAGCAGCACCAAGAAGTTCCAGTCTGGCAAATGTTGTTTCCTTTTTTCCTCATGGTGCAATCCTAGTTTTACTCTGTACCAGTTGTAGGTGTACAGTGCTTCCAATATGAACTCGTAGGAAAACAACAGCAGAATAGGCAAGTTTGCTTGCGTCACAGAATGTAATGTAACGAAATATGCTGAAATCCACTATTCCAGTGTAACCACCTAGGTACTTGAACATGCTTTAAGTATTCCAGCTCCTTTAGCCATTTCAGAAAATCTTGACTTGTTTCTGTGTCTACTTCTTGATCCCAACCAATTTGAGATTTCCACAAATTTGTAGCCAAAGTTTTGGTAGTAGCAACACTGGATCAGTGATCCCCATGGGGTCAAAAACTTTGTGTGAAGCAGCAAGAATATTTCTTTTTGTGATTACCTCTTCTATTAGTTCTCTCAAATTTGGAATATTTAATGATAGGGTATCACAATGTCTGTCCCAAATCATTCCCAGGACGTTTGTAGGACTTTCTATGGGATCAGATGTGTTCGAGTGCTCCCACCCTCTTAAGTCAAATTTTCTTTCAGCCATGATCTCCGTGGCTACATCAATAAATCCATCTAGTTCTGACTGGGTTTGGACACTTGCTAAACAATTGTCCACGTAAAAGCTGCTCATCAATTTTTGTACAATACACTCAGGGTATTTCCCACGGCCTTGCTTTGCTTCTTCTAACTTTTTCTCCAAGTGGTACTGGATTGTTGATCCAAGTAAGAATGGGCTGCTGGAGACACCAAACACCACTCGGTGATGCCTATAATGTATAAGCTCTCCTTCTTCACTGTGCCACAAAAATCGCAAGAAATTTCGATCCTGCTCATAGAGGCTTATTTGCAAGAAAGCTTTTCGTATATCAGCCGAAACACCAAATCTATACAATCGAAATCTTTCTAACATGGAAGGGATCAATTCAATTAAGTTTAAACCCTTTTCCAAACAGTCATTGAGGCTGACCACTCCCTTTTATTTTGACGAAGCATTAAAAACGGGCCTAATTTTTGTAATACTGTCCGGCTTCACCACACATGTCGATGGGGCAGATAGTGAGAAACAGACTTCAATTCTTCTTTGAGAACTTCTTCGATTATGCCTTCACGTTTCCATTCCTTAAATCCATCACCATATTCTTTAAACAAGTTTTCCTTCTTCAGCTTATAGGTTGTCACTTGTAACCCTTTAAATGCCAAATTAAAGTTGTCTGGTAGAGGTAAATGATTGTCAAGCCATGGTAGAGAGACAAGGAGAATCGCTCTTCTTCATCAACCTTGACAGTTCTTAAGAAGTGCTCCATTGAAGCTCTATGAAGTTCCTCTTTGGTTTTTGTTCTGAAGGATCTTGTATCCCTAAGGAATCCAATCTCCACAACTGAGAGATATCCATCTATTTCATAAATAGGGAGGCCACTAGCAAAGCATTGCATGAAGAAATCTCACTGTCAGGTACCTTACCTGACAAAGTCAATCCAAATATTGTCTCCATGGCAACAAGCCCACAGGATAAAATTCTGCGCTGACCAGTCATGAGCTTTCCGATTATATCTGATCCACGAAGCACTTGTACAGATCGTGACTCTTCCCCTACATCTGATAACTGGATCTTCATTTCATTAAGTTCTGAAATCCAAGAGAGAGAGAGAGAGAGAGAGAACCTTGAGTGACTGATACAATGTTGTCGCATATAGATATCTGATCTAATGCTTACAGGTTACATGTAACACTATTGTCTTGATTTCTTAATCTTATTCCATAACAAGTATGTTCATAGTTGTCAGATTTAATCCCCCAAAACAATGAATGCATCAGAATTTCCCTTCTGAGTGGGATATATCCCATTTTTTCAACTACATTTTTTAATACATAAGACTTTTGCGACCCAGAGTCTAGAATTGCCCTAACTGGGATTTCTTTGGTACCACACACCATTTTTAACTGCAAAGTTTGAAGAAACACCCTGGGACTAGAAGTGTTGTTGGCCATATTAACTTCAACTTTTGAACCCTTATTTTCACTCCTGAATGAATCTTGATTCTTAGCCTTTAAAGACTCACACATAAGTGGGACATGCTTTTTACTACATATTACACATCTTAAATATGTCTTACAAGAACGAGCTGTATGCTTTGGAGTTAAGCAAGCAAAACAACATTGCTTCTCTCTTAAAATATTATGCCTTTCAGCCAAACTCATCTTCTGAGTTTGAAAACAGTCTCGGCTTGAGTGCTTCCCAGTACAAAAAACACATTCCTTCTTCACTTCCTTTGAAGCTGTAGGTATCTTTTCCTTTGGAAAATATCTTACTTTTTTCTGAAAAGATTGGCGATTTTCATCTACACCCAAGCTAAAACCAGCCCTAACCAAATTAATTATTTCTTCTCCCTCTGTTTCTGCCTTGAGGAAAGTCATTAAATTGGTTAAACGTTCTTTAGCATCTGTTGAGGCTGCTGAAGTAGCACTTTTATTCCATGCTTTTTTTTTTCAAAAAGTCCTCTTGAAAACATGACTCAACCATGGGATAAAGAATTGAAACACATTTTTCAGTAGTCATTCCTAAAGTCTCTAAAGCTCTTAGATAAGATTCGAGTTTATCATACAGAGATGTCATTGATATTTTTCCTGTTTCTGCACCGAAATTAGGAGCTTTAATAATTCACGAACATAAACCTCCACTAATAGATCATGTCTACCAAATATCGCTTTTAAGCTGTCAACTGCTTTGGCATAATTGGCTGCTGTTGCCGGGAAGCTCTCTACTACTTCTCGGGCTCGCGAGCCATTTACAGTAGCTTGAACAAAATACTGAAATTTGTTCTCGGGCGCGATTTCAACATTGTCATGGATATGTTGAAATTGTCTTTAAAATTGAAGCCAATCTTTAATATCGCCACTAAATTATCTAAATTCTAATTTTGGCAGATTAAATTTCTTTCTAGCGCCAGATATAACAGTATTTTGTGACTCACCAGAAACTGCCAATGTGTTGTCATGATTCTCGCCACCTCCAGTTCATGTATTCTTATTTTTCCACTTTCTTCATATTTTAGCTGTTTTAATCTTTCAGCTTTTTCAAATTCTTCTTTTAGTTTTCGCTCGCTCACGGTCGTTACTAAAATATTTGTCACAAAGTCTGGACCATCCAGATACTCTTTGCTTTTCAAAATAATGTCTTTCAGTTCCGAAATTTTTACCTTCTCTGGAAATATATCTCCTATTTCCTCTGCCACAAACAACAAGTCCTCCTTCAAGAAGCCCTTAGCTGCTTTAAATATGTTAGCCATGTTTGTTTCCAAAAACAAAGTCCTGTCGCGGTGCGCCAGAAATGTAAACAATGACAATTAAATTATGGTTGTGGACGCCGTTTTCTTCACTCAATTGATCCAAGGGATCCCCAGATGAGTGATATGTTCATAAAATATAATAATATCTTTTAAAATACAAATACACTTAGCTTTATTTTATATCACAGCTCTCTTTATTAACGGTAAAGAACAATCCAAAAAACAATGCAAGCAAAGTACACAATGTTGCCATACACCACAAGCTAAATTAAAACAAAACAATAATTTCTTGGATATAGTTGGTTTGAAAATAATTTACAGCAAGTTACACCTATTTTGCCATTACTAAATTTACAGCCTTCGTACATAAAAAAAATTATTAAAATATATAAGTATCTCCAGTGAGTGAGTGAATATTAACGTCACACTGTTCAGCTGCACGAGGGCTTTTGACAACGTACCACGGAATTCAGAGCTATGGTCAAGTGACGTGGACGACACCTGAGCTGGCACCCCTTCTCCTAACTACCGCACCACACCAACGGGAGGACGTTTGAGCTCTCGACAGATTTATCGTGCATCGCTGAACTACACGGTGGGTCTTTAGTGGTACTCTGCTTGAGCTCGTGACAAAGCCAGCCACGATCCGATAAATAAATTGTAATAAATAAATTAATTTTATAATAAGGTTGCTATAGAATTTTTAAAAGTTCTATTATACAACACAGTGTCTGTTCTTCTGTTTGTCATTCGAATTCAAAGTGACTTATACAACTATTACTTATTTAAATTATTAATTCATCAGAACTGTAATAAAGTTTTAATATTAGTTTAATAGTTGACCAGGTTTTGAACACAGTATTCAAATATTCCTAAAGTTTTTCACTAGGGTTATTTTTTCCCAGCGAGCTCGTCCGAAGACCTCACTCCACCGCTCGATCGGAGATCGCAACGGGCGGTGTGTACAAAGGGCAGTGACTTAGTCGGCACGAGTTAATGACTCGCGCCTACTAGGAATTCCTCGTTGGAGGGGAACAATTACAATCCCCTATCCCCAGCACTGAGAGGGACTGCTCTGGTTACCTAGGCCGACAGGCCAAGGAACAAAGAAGTACGTTGTCCGCTCTACTGTAGCGCACGTGCGGCCCCGGACATCTTAGGGCATCACAGACCTGCAATCGCTCCTTTTCGTACGGCTTCGAAGCCGACGGTCCTTCTAAGAAGCTTATCTCTTCATTATGAAGAATAAAGCGTATTTAGCAAGCAAGAATCTCGTCCGTTTATCGGAATTAACCAGACAGGTCACCCCACGAACCAATTGCGGCCATGCACCACCATCCACAAACTCTAAAATGAGCCGTCAGTCTGTTCAACCGATATACCACTCGGCTACCGCGGCCACATAAGTATGTCTAACAACTTTAAGAAACTTCAATTTCTTTCTGAGAGAAATAAACTATACCCCTCATTATGTAGTATGTGTATACACCTATGAATATTTTATTCCTGATGAAGAATTAACTAAGCAGTGATAACTGTTTCTTGTGGCTATTTATTGTGATCTAAGTATTTCTTCTCACATACCCAGGTCAAATTTGCTAACAGCAATTTGTATTTTACTTTCTTACAATCGTAATGTGGAGTATTAAAAAGTCATAGTGGGATGGTAAGCGAGTGTATTAGTCAGCATAATCTCAGTCATTACAATTCAAAAATTACAAAAAAATATACACATCCTTTTAGTACAAACTTTAGATACCTTAAGACTCTCATCTATGAATTGACAAAGCGACATAAATTCCTTCTACTCACAAGAGGAAATGGATGCACCTAAAAAGCAAATGAGAAGTACTAATGTGATTCTTATAATTTTGAATACGTCAATAGAGAGAGCTCTCACAAAAGAAAAATTAACTGTTTAAAAATTAACAATTTTTTCCCTTGACTTCAAGTGAAAACTTCTTTTGACTTTTCGATTCTTCTGTTAAGCTTATATTTATTTTATTTTCCTACTGATTGAGTTTCAATAGCTGTCATGAAATTCTTGAATATGTTTTGGGAGGGAGAAATAAGGATTCATCAGCGTAACTCTTAGAGACAAGAAAAGTCATTCTTGTGAAGGTTTAATTTGTATCCCTATCCGCAATTGGTACTCGGAACAAATTATTCTCTTTTCTTTTCTGTTTTCATTCACGCATAAAATTAAGGATGTTATTTAGCTACCTTATTGTTTCTTTTCTCCTTCCCAGCTGGAACAATGTCCAAGAATTGTGGTTCAAAATCGTTTTTACGACTTTAGAGGGCCTGTGAACCTACTTCACCCTCAAACTTAAGGTAACGTCCATTCATGTTGTTTAAATACTTCAAAAACCACCTGATTTAGAGTTCGACTGAAAGAAATGCTTCCTTTTTAATTGTCATAATAAACTAACGCTTTTCTCGTTCAAAGATGTTTCACCTTACACCACTTTTTTTCAATTTCATGTCTTTAAAGAATTTATTTCTACTACTTCATATGTTTTTGTGTCTAATTGCTTTCTTTTTAAAGTATACTAAATATGAAGTAAATAACTTCAAAAAACGTGTTTAAGAAATACTCTGAGTTTTGTACATTATTTTATTATTAAAAAAAGTGCAGTTTTCATTTTCTTACCATCGAATTAGAAAAAGCTGATAACGCCATTTCATGATGATAAAAAAGGAATGGAATAATTTGTATTTCATTGTTGTAGCTATTTTAAAATTACATTTTCTGAAATTATTCTATTTCTGTTCTTAAGCTTCCATAGTATTAGAAAAAATTCTAAATTTATTTTTAAAAAATATTAAAAAATAAGTTATTTTAATCTCTTTTTTCAATGAAATGCTTCATTCTGCCATTTTTTAAAAAAGAAAGAAATTCCGCAGAAGTTTCAGTTTAAAGAAACAATAATAACATAAATACAATAATGAAATTTAAAATTTTAATGTCTTAGTACTGTTGGTTGAATTTGGTAAAGCTTTTGAAACTAAGGATTCGGATACATAACTAGCAATAAAAAAGATTGAATGCAGGAATCAAATGTATTAAGAAATAATTTCGTGAACACTTGAAATCTAATTTACAAGTTTCTTATTTATATAGATATTATTATTTTAGTCATATTTAGTCATGCTTAGATGAAGAGAAATATATAAATATTATTACTGGAAATAAAATTTGTAGGATTCGAAAGTACAAAGTAATAATATAATTTATTATATTATTATTTTGTAATAGATATATTCTAATCTGTAATATAGAATTTACAAAATTCTATATTACAAAAAAAAGGAAAAATTGCGACTTTTTTAATAACTCAGTCAATGAATTCTACATTATTTCTGATGATGATTATGATGTCGTATCCATGACGGGAACAAATCAGACAGTACCATGGGCCTAGATGTCTATTCTGGCAATCTGTTCAATACTGTCCACATAGAGATTTGCTGACGAAAAAATGACCCCTCTTTCTTGTAGAGCAGCAAGGATAGCTGGACAGTCAAAAATATGAGCAGGATTAGCTCTGTATCTAAACAGTTACCACAATTTCTATAAGATATTCTACCCTCTGTATCAAACTTCATACCTCTGTGTGTGTGTGTGAGTTTTTCTTTTTACATTATTTCCATTTTCAAGAATAGAAAATGTTTGTAAGTGGAAGACCAGATACAGATAACGACACGAATCAATTTCTTTGGCAATTTTTTTTTAAAATAAACTTAACGAAAGGCAATTTAACAGTTATAATTAAAAAAGATAGTGGGTTTCAAAGCTAGCAGTTTTTAACCACGTCAGTCTTATTGACTTAATTGAGCTCTTTCAGAATGTTACAAATCACCGGTAGAGAGAACACATAGGAGCCAATATCCCATCCCCCGGGCCTTGCAATGTTCTCAAGCAGAACTTAATAATTTATGTACCCTAATATAATGTAATATTTTTTTTAAAACATAAATTCATACAAGTAAATAATAAGTGAATATGAAACTGGACATAAAGCAATAAATTTCGGTAAAAAATTAGTTCAAATTTACAAGAAATATAAAAATATCTAAATACACTCATGTCCAAAAATTAAGGATAATTCGAACTCTAAAATATGTGCATATAAATATATTACCCAAAAAATAACTACACACATCTTCAAGAATCATATGCAAATTGCAGGAAGCCACTAGATGACACCGATAGTGCTTTACAATGACGAGATTGTAAGAGGGGGTAACATAAGGAATACAGGCAAAGAAGTAAAATTGTCCACAAGCGCTTTATAAGCCTTTCAGTGCAATAACTGCATAGTTATGACACAAAGGACGCATTTGAAAGATTTTTACATGATTTTCGGCCGTCTGGAATGTAGGCGTACCCAGCTGGAAGTGTCTGAGGAGCTTGGAATTGCCCAGAGTGTCATCTCCAGGTTTTGGCGACGATTCCAAGATGATGATAATGTGAGTAGACACTATAGCACATGTCGCTCCCGAGTTACAACGCCGAATGAGGACCGGTATTTGGCAGTTACTGCCAAAAGAGACAGACGGAACACAGCATTAGACCTGTCTCGTCAGCTCTCTTCAGCCGCTTGCACGACAGCTTTAAGACAGACCGTGTACAGACACTAGGGCAGATTGGTCTATATCCTCGTAGACCTATCAGATGTGTTCCACTTACTGCAGTTCACTGTCACCCTCGGTTAGCGTGGAGTTGATAGCATGCATTTTATGGACACCGCAACAGTGGCCACGTGTGATGCTTTCCAACGAGTCCAGGTTTAGTTTGCAGTCTGATTCTCACCGGACTTTCATATGGAGAGTGCCAGGTACCCGTTACCACCAAGAGAACAACATTGAATAACACCGTGTCGGTGTTGCAGGATTGCTCTTTTGAGGGAGGGGGATTATTCTGGGGTTCCAGTACTAACCTGCACATTCAAACTGGAACCATGACAGTCTAAATCTAACAGGACCATCATTCTGGAACAATATGTAAGTTTTTTTCGGGGAGCCATAGGTGCAGAATTAGTGTTTATAGTTGACAATGCCCGACCTCACCATGCAAACATTATAAAAGAATACCTTCAAACGGAGGACGTCACCGTATGGACTTGAATTCAGTCTCATTCTCACCAGATTTGAATCCAGTAGAGCAAGTGTGAGACATGCTTGGCCGACGAGGTGCATCTCGTCAACCACCTCCTTCATGTCTATCGGAAATTCAGAGATCATTGCTTAATAAGTGGTGTAATATTTTCCAAGATCAGATAGATAATTTGATAATCAGCCTAGTACGGACTGTATTGCATCTTCTGGGAGACGCACTATGTATTAACCATAATGTAATATTGGTTTTTGTAAATAAGGGGGTTTTTTTGTTGTTATTTGTTCCAGGGAGCAAACCTCACAATTTTTATGAATGATATTAAACATATAGCATCATTTTTGCTCTTTATCTTTTGTTTAATAAAAAGGCTTTGCAAACAAGTCTCATTTGTTTTGCATCTGACTCTTTCTTTGCCTGAATTTGCATTATTCTGAATTTGTGGACATGGGTGTACAATAAGAATAGTAATTATATTGAGTAATTCGATACATGATGCAAGAAATAAAATTAATTCAAAAACAATAAACTTAAAGATAATGTAGATAACTATACAAATTTAATTTTCAATTGGCAATATACTCAGCCTGTTAACAGATCCTTTGTAAGTGCCTTTGATATTTTTAATTTGTTTTTCTAATGGGATGGATATTGGCAACTAAGGTTTTGCAGATTCGGCAAATTCCTAAATATGAGAGCCATTTCATGATGGTACCATCTAGTAGTGGTTCTCGCAACCAAATTTTGACGCTTTAATTAATTTTAATCAAACCTCTTGTCAGGTGCTAAATATTGCCGTAATTTAATTCTGCCAAGAGAGTACAAGAGCCAAATTAATACTCAAGGAATCTTTTACGTGCCACATATTCATATGGCATGCCTGAGAATGACGCTCTAGCTTTTAAATCTCTCAGGAAAAAAAAATATATAAACGGCAAATGCAAAAACTAAGTCTTGTAATTTTCCATACATTTTTATAACAACGAATTGTGGAATTGGCTGCCAATACTTTGTTGTGTTTGACAATATCTAAGGTAACCAACGATACTTTAGATAGATTTGCACTACTTTTTCGTAACCGTATTCCTTTTAAATTTAATTCGTGCAGCCAAAATACACTTTTTGCACTCTTAAAAATTTATGTACACTATAACAGTTAATTTTAATTTATGCAACTTGTGAAATGGTCATAATTAACCATTTCCGTCTAAACAGTTTACATGAAAAAAAAGTTTGGACTCCCTCATTCATTAGG